GGGAGATCAAGATCTGATGTAGAGACAGGATCTGAAGATGCAGGTGTCGGTTCAGGATATGAGATCGGATCAGTATCAGGAGAAGTAACCACGGGTGGAGGGTGATCTTTCACTTTGTGTCGACGGGTGTATACCAAGTGTATCGGAGGCCTAGGCTCAGGAAAAGTAACATGGGGAAGAACTGCTGAAGTATTGGACTCGGGTATAGTGACTGTGTAAATGAGTATATCATCATTCTCCCTACAGATATTTGTGTCTGTTGATGAAAATGGTGTATTTTCATAAAAGGAGACATCAATTGAAACAATATACCGACCTGTACTTGGAGAAAAACATCTGTACCCCTTTTGAACTGGAGAGTAGCCTAAGAAAATGCACTTTAATGACTTGGGATCTAACTTTGTTAAATGGGGATTAACATCTCGTACAAAACAAGTGCAACCAAAAACTTTAGGAGGAATAGGAAAATTTTCATTATTTGGAAATAGGCACTGATATGGAGTTTTACCATCTAAAACAGTAGATGGCATTCGATTGATCAAAAAACATGCGGTAGACACAGCATCTGCCCAAAAATGTTTTGGCACATTCATTTGGAATAGAAGAGCCCGCGCAGTTTCTAATAGATGTCTGTTCTTTCGTTCAGCAACTCCATTTTGGGGAGGTGTGTCTACACATGAAGTTTGATGAATTATGCCATGTTGAGCCATATACAACTTAAATGAGGCAGACAAATACTCTTGAGCATTGTCTCCCCTTAAAATACGAACATGTACATTAAATTGAGTTTTGATTTCAGCACAAAAGGCACAAAAATGAGAAAATAACTCGAAACGACGTTTCATGAAATAAATCCAAGTCATACGAGAATAATCATCAACAAAGGTAACAAAATATTTAAAACCAGATTTGGACACAACAGGGCAAGCACCCCAAACATCAGAATGAACCAGTTCAAAAGGAGCATGTGCTCGTTTATTGACTCGAGGACTTAGACTACTTCGATGATGTTTTGCAAATTGACACGAATCACACTGTAAGGATGACACCTTATTGAATTGAGGATAAAGCTTCTTTAACAACGGAAGAGAAGGGTGAACTAGTCGATAGTGAGCCTCTAACACAGTTCCAATGCCAAGACAAGAGATTGATTTGGGTAAGGATGTATCCAAGAGATAGAGACCGGCCGACTCATATCCTTTACCAATAACCTGATTCGTCAACAGATCCTGAACTACACAATATCCAGGAAAAAAGGTTACGGAACAATTAAGTTTACGTGTGATTTTGCTGATCGAAATCAAATTGAAAGCAAAATTTGGAAGACTTAGGACGGGTGACAAAGGTAAGGTAGATGTTGGGACAATTGTACCCGTACCAAGAACGGGTGACGTAGATCCGTCAGCCAAAGTCACACTAGAAGTATGAAGAGGTGTGTGGAATGAGGAAAAAAGACTAGGATTACCTGTCATATGATCTGTTGCTCCTGAATCGATAACCCATTTTGAGGATGAAGATACAAGACATGTGTTTGGATTACCTGAATTAGCTACAGCTGAGATAGGAGTAGATGAATGCTTTAGAGCCTCCTGGTAACCTAGGAATTTGGCATATTCCTCCGAAGACATAATGATGGATCCATTAGATGGTTGTGTAGCGGAAGCAATGTGAGCGACTTGATTTCCTTGATTTTTGAACTTTAGCTTTCGACAATCTTTGATCAAGTGTCCGGGTTTCTTACAGTAGTTGCATACTACTCCTTTGCCAATCGGTCCTGTGCGTGGCCACTTCTCACCTCCATTGGGGAATGTTGGGACTTGCCCTACAAAAGCATTGCTTGGCTGAGGTGCCGATGATGTGGATGAAGTGTCAGTGCGAAGCACTCTACTGAAAGCATCTTGAAGAGAAGAGACCACATCACTAGATAGGATATGTGATTTGGCTGTTTCAAAATCAGACGTAAGACCGGCCAAAAAGCTCATGACTGCCATTTGTTCGCGTTGTTTCTGCTGCACTTTGATATCAGGACTAAATGGCATTAAGGTATTAAGTTCTTCATACGTTTTCTTGAAATCCATAAAATAAGCTGTGAGAGGCTTATCTTTCATTTCTGCCCTGTAAAAGGCTTTGCACACCTCATAGATGTGGTTAAGATTACCTTTGCCAGAATACATAAATTCCAAATAATCAAAGAGTTCTTTCACAGTATCACAATGACTAACGTACCCCATGACGTCATTCTCCATGGAGTTCTGAATCTGGATAAATAATCTAGAATCATCACGAAGCCAGACAGCATTAGCAGCTCTATCAATCTCCTCCTTTGGCGGGTCATCAACTAAGTGGGTGTATTTATCAATGCTTCGTAAATAACGTTTGATAGTTTTACTCCATTCAAGATAGTTAGAGCCACAAAGTTTATTCTCAGTGATTTTAAAATTAATGGGAATAACTTCGGAAACTACCAAAGGCTGAGCATGTTGTACGGTGGAAGTGTCTGTATCAGAACCAGGCATTTTTTTTTTTTGATTTTTTTTTTTTGACTTTTTTTTTTGACTTTTTTTTTAATTGCAGAAATAAGAAGCTATGTATTAAGTAAACTTACAACGACCAAAATACTATCCTTGAATGTCGTCGTTACTTAATAAGCAAAGTCACAGAAAGATAATACCGTTCAAGACACCTGAAAATAGTTCCGATGGATTCTGCGGCGATTGGGTCTGCGATTAGGTCTGCGAGGTCCTCTGACGGCGCGTGTGGCCTGCGGATTTCGAGTGTAAGGTCGGCGGCGGAAGGCGTGACTGCTTAGGGTGGAGGTGATGCTCTGTGAAACTGTGGATTTTGGACTGACGTTCTAAATTTTGGGCTAAGGTTCTGGCTGAGGCATGAACTGAGATTCTGAAAAATATTGCTAAGCTAAACTGGAACAGATGGCTCTGATACCATGTTGTAAGGATTAAAGATAGAATAGTAATGAGAAGAATGATTTTTGTGTATCTTTCATTGGAGGGTCAAGCCCATATATATATACATTACAAAGATAGAATATTCCTTTAAGATTCTATACAATAATAATATCCTAGAGTATATTCCTAAAATATTCTAAAGAATATTCTAAAGGTAGAAGAATATTCTAAAACATATTCTAAAGAATATTCTATAATGTCTTTCACAAACGCATTTATGGGCCAATAAATATAAAAGTCATAGAGTATAAAGTGCTACTAGTTGTTTTCATTGTAGTTTCATACTAGTTTCAATGTTAAACTGTATTTTTTATTTAGGGTTATTGAGTTATAAGTTATCATATGCTTATTATAAGTTACCTTATTAGTTTTACTAGTTAATATTTTGCATTATTCGGCCGAAGACATACTTTTCACATGATCTTTTCCCCAACAACATCCAAAGCCTTAGTCCCAAAAGAATTTGAGATTACCTAACATGAAACGACATATGGAATCGGAGTTAAAAAGATAAAAAGAGATTAATCCTCCACAAATATATTCTCCATCTGCTTCGCTATCTCCAAAATCACTCTCATCTAACCCAAGAAGTAACATATCATTCCTGACCACCCTAATCTACATTTGTTTGAATCGTCTTCTCTCTCTTCCTACCTCTCAATTCGTCTAATAGGTACATCATTCAATCATCTAAACACATGATCATGTAGTGTATGTAGGTCGTTTAGAGATAAATGTGCATGAGGATTAACAAATTTGATGCAAGCCATCCAATTTTTCACCTAGGAAGCACTTCTTATTTGATCCAAATTCATAGATATGTATATAGTATGGGAAGTTCTAGTAAGAACTATTAAAATGAGAACACATTTATGAATGTGAACTTCTATTCGTAAGGCTTTTTTTGGGTCTGGATGGAGTATGTTAGAAGATAGTTGACGAATCTTGAGTTTTTGGCTGATTACAACTACAAAATATTGATTAAATTAATATAGTTTGGCGTTTTCTTTCAAAAAAAAAAACTCACATTACAAGTTTCAAATCAATGATTAGAAACAATAAAGTGTCAAAAAAGACATCATGTGTATGTTAACCAATGATTGAATAAAATGAAACGTTGAAATTAAAAGTTCTCATCACAAGAGCTCATTTTAATCATGGGTCCTCTGGAAAAAGTGTCTTTGTGCTTTAGAACAGGGATAAGGCCTTGTACATCTGACACCCCTTACCCTATCGTTGGCGAGAGCCTTTGCGACACTAGGGTAATGTTGTATCACAAGAACTCATTTTAAGAATGTGATGTATGTATGCACACATGTATGTGCATGTATAGGTATATGTAATATGTGTGTGTGTGTTTGATATATTTATTTATTTATTCATATATTTACTCTTTAGACAAATGGGTGAGAGTTGAAGTGAGAATCCCGGCGAAATTTGCCGTCAGGCCGAGGCCATTTGGGGCTCTTCCCGGTGCAGTTTTTTATGAATTTTTTTGAACATGTTCTTCATCAAGTCTAGTTTATCCCCATCAAATTTCAGCTAAAAATTCAATCGGGAAGACAGTTAAATAAATTCCTTGCAGAAACTGCGCTTTATATAAAGCGCAGTTTCTGCAAGGAATTTATTTCACTGTCTTCCCGATTGAATTTTTAGCTGAAATTTGATGGGGATAAACTAGACTTGATGAAGAACATGTTCAAAAAAATTCATAAAAAAACTGCGCAGTATATATATAAACAGCGCAGTTTATGTAAAGAATTTATTTAACTGCCTTCCCGATTGAATTTTTAGCTTAAATTTGGTGGGCATAAACTAGACTTGATGAAGAACATGCTCAAAAAATGTCATCAAACAATTCCACATGGAAGGGCCTGAAATGCCCTTGGCGTCCTGACGACCTGACAGGATCGCTACTATATGTGTGTGTGTGTGTGTGTCTCACATAATTTTCAACAAAACTTTCTCCTTCATACCCCTCCTAAACAGATCCTGAAGGAGTACATAGTAGATAAATCATATATTCATATGTACCTGATATCATTTTCAACCAGGCCATCTTCTGATGGAACACCAACTCTAATTGCCTTGATCTCATCTGGCTCATCCTGATTAGCTTTAAGAGAGGTAAATATTTCAGAAGTAGCATGCAAACTGCGGGACCAGACAATGCGAAGCCGAGGAAAATGTAGAATAAGCAAAGATAGCTTCGATATAATGTTGTTTGGCGTCACATCATCTCCAATTTCACTAGCAGACTTCAAGAAAAAACCAACGAGTCAGATTAATGCAAAAGAGGGGAGGGAGGGAGAAGAAAAGTTGGAAAGGTGGTTAAAAATACTCCCTCAATCTTAAATAGATGACGTGTTTGAGTAAGGGGCATATTTTTATTTTTAGACTCAATCAAGGTACAAGTTATGAATAGACATGTATACCTCTTGAATTATACCTCTGGACTTATTTCCTAGATTGCTTGGAGTAAATGACTAAAACTGCTTGGAGAATGGATATAAATGAAGTTAAGTTTAAGGTCTAAAACCAATTCTTGTTTTGGGACTAAACGTGACTTATTTGGGGGGACGGAGGTATTGTGTTTGAGAAAATGAAGATATTGGTTTTTTAAAAAATTAAGTAGAGAAACTGAACTAGATATATTTTTTGAGGGGAAATTCCTGAAATAGGAGTAAGAACGTTTGAAAATTTCAAATAGTACTATATTTTTCTCCTAAACTGTCTACGCTTCTTTGTTATGAAGTAGTACTTGGTCCATGCAATTTTCAACGCCAATTTCACTATGGGTCATCCGCATACCATCTCTCTGCTTTAGTACATGTAAGAATGCGTACATCTGACCCCCTTACCCCTTACCGTAGGTGGGAGCATTTGTGGCATTGGGGTTACAATGATGATGATAAGGAGTATGTTACTGTCATCCAACAAATTTACTGTTATGCTTTGGCATTACCAGCATTTAGACATGGCAGTATACTGCCATAAGTAGCAATATTTTCCAAACTTGGCTTACCCCCGGAATAAAAACATAGCACTCCTATTTTGGAATTCGCAAACGTCTTCACTCCTATTTAGACCAATTTCTTATTTTTTTCGTAATGAAATATATAGTGATCTACAAGTACATGAAACAATAATAATGCAAAATAATTTCTGTAAAAGGTGAAAAAATTAGAAAATGAAGATAACTTCCCAAAAACCTTCCAAAGTACATTGAATTTTGAGGAGTTTGAAGGATTTTATAGCTACTCCACATTCTACCGCCCCCGCCCCCCAAATTCCCCCAAGTCCCCAACAACACACATGCAGCTGCTTCACTTTCCTTTCCTCTCTCCCAAATCCTACAAACAAAAAAAAGGTACCAAGAAGAGGCATATACCTGAAATGAAAAGCTCTTTTCTTGTGAAAACTCGATGAGAAGAACAGGAATACGGTAATACCGTGACATCATTTCCACCTGGTGGAAAAGGCGACCAGATGCAAAACTGCCATAAAGGTCTTGTATACTCTTTCTTTCTACACACATCAGAGGAGAAAGTATATAGTCTCCAACTTCCAAAGTCACCGGTATAATGTGCATGCCTTTCTGGTGGAGTACATTAGGGAGACTACTCATGAACTCTCTCATGTCCACTATCACCTAGTGTCACCACAATGTAACAGTTACTACACTAACGCTATGTTTGGAGCCTGGAAAATGGCAGGGTGAGGAAAATGGTGTTTATGTTTTATTTTAACAAGGAATATACAAATAATAATCAGTTCTGATTCGTACTTTTCCAATTTGTTTACATACATTTAGATTTATTGGTCTTTATACTCCCTCCATATTTTAAAGTTCTACACTTTCTTTTTTGGGATGTATTTTAAAATTTGTTACACTTTTCCCTTTTGGTAAGTTTTCCCTTTAAAAATACTCAATTACCCTTACTTTTTTTACTTATCTTCTCTTTCATACTTTTACACCTTCTTTCCTACTTTTTCTACACTATTCATTACCCCTACTACTTTCATACTTAAATAATGTGCCAAAGCCAATTGTAGCAATCTTTATAATATGGAGGGAGTATAATAGAAACATATAAATACAATGAGTTTGAACAAATACCGAAAATTTATTTATTGAGTTCGAACCATATTATTATTTCCCCTCAAATTTCCTCCCTGATTTCTTTCCCTAGAATATTCCGTGTTCCATATGAACCTTGAGAATCTTTTTCATGTGAGTTTCCAAATTGACATACTTGCATTTCCTTCTGTGGATCCTTTTTACCACCAGCTTTTCTAGTCATTACATTTTGGGGAAGTATGGATTGCCCATCAGTTGAAGAATCCAGTCCTGTACAATGCCCATCCTGATTACAACCAAAGACCAATAACAAAAGCAAAAGGAATGTATTAATTAGCTCTGCTTCCAAAAATAAATTAAAAATCAAGTTTTCTGGGGAGCAATTATAACTTGACCCATTTACCTCAACTTATCGCCCACTCATTACATTTTTTACTCATTAAGTGTAAACCCCTATAATAATGACTGTTTCGGAAATTTCCCACATTATTCCATCTTTGGAAGGTTGTGAGTTGAAGAGCATCTGGTGTAAGACTATTAGAAAATATTATTTTGCATGAATTTACAATGTCAATTAAAGTTCGAAAATAAACTCACTACAAGTTTCATGCCACCGACCTCAAAGTAATTAGGATCAAGGTGATGGTGATGATGTCATGATGATGAGAACATTTTCTACGTTTGGCCCCAGCTTTCATTTTGTGCACCTTTGGTGCATGTCGGAGTTTTTTATTTATCAAGTTTGGTGCTTCTAATCACTTATGCAGCACAACTTTTGAATAATTGTTGCCAAATAACTGACAAAAAGAACCAAATATGTCAAGAGATCCATAGTCATGCAAAAAAGTCGAGGACCAAAGTAGAACTTTTTTATGATAAAGAACAGTTACAAGTTTACATGGTTAGACCAGCTGACCAAAAGGTACAGAAAAAATGCTACCAGAACCATTGATAATTGACTAAGCAGGATCATCATTTATATAGTCACTTAGTTTGTGAAATCTTATAACAGCAAACCTGATCAACTTGGATCATCATTAGTGATTTCTGCCTTATCAAAGATTCAAAGGCTGCATTTTCTCTTCGTATGCTTGCCTCAAACTTTTGGACCTCAGTAGAATCTTCATAGAAGAGAAAGTATACTTTCACTTCAATTGAAGGATTTTCAGCTTTATAAATCTCAATCTCTCTCACAAATGCAATCTCAGGATGGTATACAATAATGACAGAAGGCTTCAATATGTCAAGTATATGCTGTTTGCTCTCGAGTGCATAAAAGTGCATACGTGGAAGCTGTTTACTCTGGTTCAACGATTCGGTATCGAAGGTTCTCCCTTCCTTCTGAAGCAATGTTTCATCAGCAGAGGAACTTGTATGACCAATTTCTGTCTTCTTCTTCTTTACTTTTCCCATTCCACTATCCATAGAAGTTGAAGCATTTTCTTCATGAACAGTACCCTTTTTAGCTTTCTTACCAATTTTGGATGCCATTGATAGTAGCGCATCGTGTTCCTGTTTACATACACTACTAATAACTTCTGCCTTTTGGACAGGAGCAGCTAGAAAAACTCCGTCAAGTACCCCAAAACCTTTTGGTTGTTTTGGTTTCTTTTTGTTCTGTTTGGGTAACGCCTGCAGCTCTACTTTGCTTAGTAGATAATTCTCCCATTCTTTCCTCATGACCTTCATAGTGAGAAATACATGTTGGTGAATTGCGTATGATGGGAAAGGGATGCACGCATTAAGTTTAAGTATCTTGTGACAGATTACTTATTATGTATTACTATTAAATTTTCAAAAAACCTAAGTTTTCAACTTACCATATTCAAGTTCCACAAAATTCTAAATCTGGTGGTAACTGCTTGATCTTGATTAGAATGAATCACAAAATCACAATTCGGTTCTACATCAAGAAAGAATATCATGCCAGATCTTCCAAACAGATCTGGGGTTCTACATCAGAATCCCAAAATAACTTAAGCTATTTGGAACTGAGAAAATAGTAAAAAATGCTAGAGAAAGAAAATAGAGAGACGAACTTTGGAACAAAAGAAAATTTGTGGGAAATAAAAGAGTAAAAGACACAGTCAAACTCTAAATTTATTTTAGATCTTTGGCGCAATTCTTTTTTATTTTTTATTTCTATTATAAACACACACACAAAGATATCTAAATATATGTAGATTTTAAAAAATAATGACAATTCATTTTCATTTACATTTTCCAATGTAAAGCTGAAAATAACTTATCTTGCCACTTGCTTTCATTAACCAAGCATTTTCCGCAAAATGTAAAAAATAGGAATAAAAACCTTCTGAGGGCAGTTTTTGATACAGCTCTCTAGCAGCATGCAGGAGCGATCATCTCTGCAAGCAACTAAAACAACACTGTTGTCAATCCCTTCATCTTCAGAAGCTAGTACGTCTCTACTAATAGCTTCCTTTTCTCTTTCCTCTTGTATCTCCAGAAGAACATCCTGCAGCAAACAATACCGAGAAAAACAAGCTTAGAAAACTAAGTGAATACGTGTAAATAAACAATCCATTTAAACAATCCATATGTTTTTCACAGAAATATCAATCAACCAACTAAAGCACACAAGTCTAGCAAAGATAATGCAACTCACTCACGCGCAAAACCTTCCATTTTGGTTCTTCCTCCAAGACTTCCTGCAAAACTACTCTGCTACTAGTACTTGCTGATGAATCTGAATGCAGAAAAGGTCATCAAATTACAACAAAATAAAGCAATAATAACTCCCAAAAAAGCTTGAATGAGTACAAGCACTCAAATAGTAATGCTTGCATCATGTGTGAGACTATAAAACGGACCTAACAAATGTTAACAAGAAGTCAAGAACATATATCTACTGTGTCACTACTTTTTTCCTTTCTGTTTATTTTTTTTACTTTTCTACTTTCCAATGTGATACTTAGGTTGCAACTAAGATGGGAAGAATTGTCAGAATATACACAAACATATAAAACAGACTCATTACTCTAAGCAATGATAATATTGAAGGGAATTATAAGAAGCTTCATAAAATTTCATTAAAACAGTTTAGACATGGTTTCCAATGAATGCACTCTTGAATGGGTATGAAAAAAATATAGTAAGGAAGGTGTACACCAAAACTCACTTAGTTTGGTGTTATGAAGAAATATATGCAAGCTCAAGTGTTCAAGTTGGATATAGCATTTTTACGACAATTAAACGAAGAGCCAACCTATCTATGCAATGACCAACATACGGTTTTCAGAATAAATAAAATGTACTTCTTCTATCCCTTATAACTTTGTCAAGTTTGATCGTCACATGGAATAATAAAGCAAAAATTGTGTGGTTGAGGTTTGTGAAGAGGAGAGACTAATAATATGAACCACAAATTCATTGATTAAAAGGGAAAGTGACAAAGTTTTTGGGACACTGAAAAAAAGAAAGATGGCAAAGTTATAAGGGATGGAGGGAGTATCACTTAAGTCTTAACCCCCCCCCCACCCCAAAAAAAGTGAAAGGAAATGGAAAAAGAGAATATGGCATATCCTAGACTCTTAGTTGAGTCTGAATTTTAGTGCCACTGTTTCTCCTTTGTTATTTGTGTGCATCCAAAAAATCAAGCAGATTACCTCAGGAAATCTAGTAAACTTCAATGAAACTAGCAAATTTCAAGTCAAGACAATAATGCTAGTAATGCAAAATTGCAAAGCATACCTCCATCCTTCTCATCGCCAGTTTTTCTCCTCTTAGTTGTAGTACTCGGACACTGCCCTGCCATATGTACACTATCTGATCTCCCAAAACAATAAACTCGCTTCTTAGCATACTCAAAAATCTTGTAGCTAGACTCTGCAAATATCCAAACTGATCGGAAACTCTCCGAGGCTCTGAGCGAGTCCAGATACTTCAAATAAGTTACAGCATCGTACCTATTCATGTTGGATGTTATGTTTTATTACAAACACATATATATTTAAATAAATTCAAAATACCACAAACAATGTCAATGAACCCATGAACACAAACACTTGACAATTAACTTTTGCCTAAAAAGGTAATCCAATGACATAAAAACAACAAATGCTAAGAGTCTTGAGCTTTTCAAGAATATAACATAGGTATTATGGCTATAGAAAAAACTCAACAAGTAACAATAAATTTATAACCCGAGAAGACAAACCAATTAAATACCTAACAAGGTAATCCATCAACTTTCTCAGTGTCTTCAAATCTGAAACAAGCTGCTTTGTTTTCTTCCCTAACGTGTGCCAAATAGGGTCCAACTGTCTTCGCAGTATCTCATCAAATGATTTAAAGAGCCCATTCTCCACAGTCAAGTCCTCCACATCAACTTTATTAGTCTTCCTCATTTCCTTTAAACATGCATCCATAACCTCAAGCACTGCCTTTTGAATGGCAATCATGTATGGGGACATTGGAACTCTAATGTCCACAACCTCAGGAGGGTCCTTCTCCAAATCCTGTGAAACATATACCTGCAAAGAAAATATGCAAATAATCCTCCACTTGTAACCACACTATGTAACTATGGTATAACTTTGCAGAACCAACGCTTAAGAGTCAAAACGTACAAAAAATACTTCATCATTCAGACAATTCGTTTTCAAAGAAAAATCGTGACAAGTTTTCAACTAATGATCTAAACAAGCCTACTCTTTGAAACTGTAGTTCAGTTTTCAAGTTCTTTTTTTGTTAAAAAAGGTGATAACTTTCTGATATTGTGATCAAACTTACTATGAATTAGTTTTTACAGATGAATTAGCCACTAAGTTTATCTATAGAACAAAAAAAAGATCAGTCCTTTTTGCTCAAAGTGGCAGTCCTAAGTAAACAAATAAACTAAACTAAAGTGTTGCGGGAAATTACACATGATAACATAAAATAAAAGTTGGCAGAATAAATCCTGGAAAACTGAAACAAATGAAAACCTGGAAGCGAGGCCAAAGATGAAGCTTTCTTAGGAAAAGGCATTTTAAGGTTCGCTCAGCCCTTGCAAAGCCAGAGACCATGGCATGTGGACGGTCCGAAAAGGCCCTAATATAGAGTGACCGGTTTGCGGAAAGGATAATTCTAACAATAAACGCTTCGGTGGAGGTATCTGAGATTGAATGGGCGTTGAGGATGATGATTCCGGCGACTGAGGTAGTGGGTAAACGGTGAGTAAGGAGGTCGACGATGAGAATGCGGGAGGTGATGAAGAAGATTCCGCCCGAGGTATAAAGCGAGAGGCGCTGGTGCGCGGGAAGATCGGAGGTAATCTCGGAGGGCAAAATAGGAAGTCCACTCGTGTCGGCGGGGACAAAGCTTTGGTGTTGGATGGCGATCTCGAGATTGAGGACGATGGAGTGTTTCTGGGAAGGAGAGGCGGAGAGGATGAGGAGGGAGCCTTGTGAAGAGTGGTGGAGGAGGAGGAGAGAAGAAATGAGTTTGTGGAGGCCGAGGCCGGCGGAGATGACTACTAAACCGCCGCCGTTTTGGTCTTCCAGGAGTTCCGTTATTATGTGCTCGTGAAACTGAACCATTTTTAGGAAGCTCCCAATACGAACACGGATGCTTAGGCTGCTGCAATCCTAAAAGCTTAGGTTTTTCCTCCAATCCATGTATTTGGAGGTGCTAAATTCCTCCACCCATATTCAATCCTGTTGCCTCCAATCCTGGATCAACGAGGCGCTGGTTATGAAACCGAACCAACACTGAACAATTCTTTTTTTCTTAGCACATAATTTGCTTTTTACTAAAGTATTAAAATTTTGCTTAAAATTCTAATCACTTCAAACGTCAAGGTTGTTTGATGTGGTAACGATGAAAGTTGTTTGTCATCACCTTAGCAAGATACGTCCACTTCAAATATTCAAAACTTACAAAATACATCGTGTTTGCATGTATAGATATAAAAGCATCATTACAATCTATTTGTTAATAGTATAATTTACGACAAAGCTAATAGTTACAAATATCATGAAAGACACTGAAGTAAGATATATGATATCAACTACAAGTTATTTGATTTATTTTATATTTGTTGAGGTATATTATCATGATCCACTACTATTCAGGAGCCCAATACATCACCTCAGTACGAAGCCCGAATGACGAGGCCATTCCAGCCTATCAGGCCCATTTCGGCCCATCTATCCCATATCGGCCCACTTGGCCCATTAGGGTAGAATGCATCCCATACCCCCTTTTTCCTATAAATAGAAGGCCTTCCCTAAATGTAAGAGTTGGTTTCTCCTTCCCCACTTCCCCTTCCTTCTCTCTCTAGATAGCTAGCTTGCAAACCTCCATTAATGGGAGCTTCATACTTGTACTATGTAAATGGTGAGGAGAGCCTAATGAGAATGAGAGGGCTTGGACATTAGCCTAAAAAATCTCGTGGTTTTCTATCTTTCTGGTTTCCACGTAAAAATAGCTTGTTCATACATATTTATATCTATATTTATTATATCGTGTTGGATTAAACTCAACAATATTTATAAATTTATGTGGTGTAAAAAATCTTGATTTGTAAAAATGAGCTTAATGTATTCAATCTCGTGATTTATTTTTGTTGGCATGGTTAAATTATAATTGTTAGCTAAATATCATTGATTATACTATCATTGTTATTGTAGTTGTTATTGTTATTATAATCACTACTACCATTATTATTTTTATTTTTATTTTTTAATAACGGTTCCTTAGTGGTTCTGTGCACATATTTTTTATAGGAACTAGGAACCGAACCGTTAGTAACAATTAGGAACCAAACCGTTAACAACTAATACCGCATTTATAGGAACCGAACCGGGTTATAATGGTTCAGTTCCAACCGGTTCTATGGTTTCCAGTTCCAAAATCTCACCCCTAGCTGCGGTTATGTGTAGAGACAGTGCCGACCCCAACAAAAAAGAAAATCTTTTTTTATTAAATGTGTTATAATTTTTTTATTTATCCATAAATTTTTATAAAAACTATATCAATATTCATAACTTTTTGTATCTTTCATATGATACCAATATCACATATATAAAGTTAGAAAAAAATATAAAATTTTAATTGTTGAAGATTTTCGGACTTAATTTTTTTCTTAAATAAATTCAAGTGCTAAAATTAAAATATCAGGATTATAATATCCATTTTACATCTTTCACTTCTTTTTTCAAAATGGGTCTGAAATAAAAACCAAAAAAATATTTCCAAATTTATTTATTTTTACATCGAAATCTCTGACTTTTAAAAATCGTAATTACCCTAAAAAATTGATAAAAAATGATGTATAATAATATAAATGAGACTTTAATTATAAAAAGTAATATATTGACGGTGGCTGAATTGAAACAAAAACTGAATTGGCTTGATTAAGCTATTGTTTCTCAATCGTGAAGATTGGAACGTGGAGAAGATTTAGAATAAATTTTAATTTACAATACTTAATTTGTCTCGATCATAAGTTTTCCTTAATTCATTTTAGAAATCTATGGACAATTTCATCTATTTGTATGTCCCATTATTAGAGCTCCCCCCAAGAGCATGTATAAATCAACAAAGCGACCAAACAAAGAAAAAAGATAAAAATGTCATGAGTTGTTTTTTTAAGAAAGTAGGCTTATATTAAAATACCAGCAAAATCACAAATAACATCTAGCCCGAAGAAAACAGACAAGCTACAAAGATCAGAAACTATAGTTCGACCATACGCCCTTAGACCAGACTTAGAATCAGTCACCTCAAAAGTAGTCACCTAATTCGCTAACCCCCAAAACAAGTCACCTTGGGCAAAACAAACCCAACAAAAAAACAACCTACAATCCTTACCAAAAGAATTAAAGGAAAAGCCAAAAAAACATAGTACTTTAATGAAAAATCTTGCAAAGGAGCCCCAGTTGGCGGTTCAGGAGCGGGGTGAACCGTCGGTCTATCTTCCCCCTCGATCAGCCCTTCACAGCTTTCCGTCCGCTCATTGCCCGTGCCATCTCCACCATTGTCCATTATTTTTAGCAACAGTTGTCCTCTCTTGCCAACTTTGGCTCATATTCGGACGCACGACAAATTTCCAATGAACATGTCGCACGGTACTGGACAAAATCTATGTTGGGTGTGTTTCGGAAAACAAAGAAAATAATTAGTAAAATTAATTAAATAAAATGACTAAAGAAAATAGAAAGTAGATGAAGCAAAATTTAACCAAAGCTCGTGCTATGCACGATGTCCTTAAAATGTATTCGTTGCCTCCTGGGGTGCTAGGAGCGTTGCAACGATCGTTTCCCAGAATTATAAATCCTATATTCATAGGAAACATAAGGTCCTATCATAAAGCTTTGGATAGGCTAAATCAAGGGGTTGTGGGGGATACGATGACTACGAACAATTGTTTGAGCACTCAAACGAATTGTTCCGGCAAACGTGAACAAAGGAAGAACACGAAGGAATATTTCTGGAATGCTAGAGGTGTTTTAGAGCTAAAGAGTGTGTGAGTTCGTTTGTGAACGTCTGTGAACGTGTTGTTGCAAATCACCTGCTAGCCAATTTATAAGGGAATACTTGTTGTGCGTTAATGACGTTTTAATGGACATGAACGTTGGGCATCAATGTTCAGCACGTTGGCATTGATTCATCCATAAATGTCCATTTAATTGCATGAACGTTGGCATTTATGGTGTTGTAACGACAGCAACAGCCTGCTCCAGCGGGGAGAGCAGCAGCCTGCTCCAGCGAGGAGAGCAGCAACCTGCTGCGAGCCGTTCAACATGGAGCAGCAGTCTGCTCCCACGGGTTGCACCTGGAGTAAAAAATAGGAAAACAGGAAGAAAAAAAATTAATCTTATCTTTAAAAGATAGTTTTCGGGCGGCAATCGTGTCCGCAGGTCGCCCGCGCACACGAGTCGCGGTTTTTCTTCTCCGTTTTCTGGTGTGGGATAAAACACACTAGAAACCCATCATTTTCCTAGTTTTCTCCATTTCAACAAGTGAACTTCGAGAATCAATTTCTCATTCATCCGCTATCTGTTTTGAGTGTACCATATCGAATTGTAGCCCTTAGCAAGGACATTCCAAAACCACTTTGACCCGACCCAAATCGGAAGTGGAACCCATTGGATGAAGGCATATACCATGTACGAAACCCTACGCTTAGAGCGAGGAAACCTACAAATTGTTGCACGCCAACGGGGGCGGAAAAACCACGACCCTGTGATGGTGAGGTATGGATCATTAGAGAATATGTTAAGCAACATACTTGTGAGTTAGACATTATTCAGGATTACCATAAATATGCTACAAGCCTTATTATCGGTGAGTGTGTAAGAGAGAAATTTATTGTCGGGCAGTGTACTACCCCAAAGGCTATTATGAAGCTAATGCGAAAGGATCATGGTGTTGAAGTTAGTTACCCAAAGGCTATTATGAAGCTAATGCGAAAGGATCATGGTGTTGAAGTTAGTTATTACAAAGCATTACAAGCGAAGCATATTCTTTTAGAAGAGAGTAACATTGATCGGCTAAGGACTCCTACACACGCATACCTGCTCTACTTTATGCTATACAAACAACAAATCTAGGTGTTCTAATTGCCTTTAATTTACACCTTCTAATTTTACTTTTACATGTTTTCTGGAATTAGTTTTATATTGTACGTGTTATTAATACTATGCACAAGTTTTTCAATTGGTTAATGTCCCTTTTCAACGGGTTCGGTTATAATGATTGAGACAAAAGAAGACAACTCTTTCAACTACTTTTTTTCTCATTTGTTGCTTCCATTACTGGTTGCCTGGTGTAGGCGAATCATATCAGTAGACGACACCTTCTTAAAAAATAAGTATGCCAGCATTCTCCTGATTGCATTTGATATGGATGCAAATAACCACATGTTTCCGATCGCTTTTGCAATCGTTGACTCAGAGACAGATGCTTCATGGAAATGGTTCTTTTATCAGTTGAAGGAAACAATTCCACCACGTGATCATTTAGCGTTTGTTTCCGATCGAAAAATAAGCATCCTGAAAGTCATCTCCAAGGTGTTCCCATTTGGAGAGCATGAGTTTTGTGTCTAACATCTGCTTGGTAACTTAAGGATAAAGTTTAAACACCTAGCAATTCCTACTATATTTAATAAATGTGCGAGGGTCTATAAGCTATCACATTTTGACCAAGAAATGCATAAACTTGAACAATTGGGACTAGGTATTCGTGAATATCTTCGTGAGGCTGGTTATGAAAAGTGGGCATGTTTCTACTATAGAAGACGCAAATATGGTATTGATACTACCAACATATCAGAGAGTATGAACAATGCCCTTAAGTAGCAAGAGATTTACCTCTTACTAGACGAACTACCCGTGCGATGCACGGGGTGTATCTAGAATAGTATAACAACGTATTTAATTACGTTTTATTGCGATGATACTTAATGTGTACTTTTTTCAACTAAAAAAGACCATTAAGTTTATATGTTGTAGCTTTGACTATATTATTGTAGATGTAAGAAAAAGGAAATTTGGATGGTATAACAAAATGCAAGTAAAAATAAAATAAACGATATGGTGTACGTAACTATACTTTAAGTGACAATGAAATAAATGATAGTACAATTATTAGTAGATTTCATAAAACTACAAAATAGAAGAATCACAAACGTACGCTGACCATGTACATGCAAAAAGTATCATAAGTTTTCAAAAACTTGTTTATAGATCACGTTATTAGTGTTATCGATAGCACCACCTTTGTCAACACATATATGAATCCTCTTCAACCCACTTCTTGAGGCGACTCTAATTCTAACTTTACCATTCCATATTCAATATTCGTCTTTGTTTTATTTATAAAATTAGGTAGGTAGACTTGAGTTTTCAAGTCAATTGTGTCTAATTTTCACAAATTATATCTTTATATAAAGACGTATTAATAAAATCAAAATGTTATTTGTCAAAAATACTATCATAAAAATATAAAATTATTAAATTTTGTAATTAATATATTAGTTAAAATAATTGGTCAAAGATTACCATTTTTTATTGGAAAGTTCAAAGATTACTAACTAAAATGAGATTTAGGTAGCATGATAGTAATCAAATAATCAAATACTCAAATTAATCAAATACTCTTTCTGTTCCACTGGACTTTGTCAACTTTCCTTTTGTTGTTTTTCCCAAAAATCTTTACCATGAACTTTCCGTTTAAAACAATGAATTTGTGGTTTTGTTCATTTATCTCTCCTCCGACCTCTGCACAAACCTCAATAACACGGTTTTTACTATTTTAACTTCACACCTAACATTAGGGATGGACTCGGGTTCGGGTCGGGTCCGGGTCGGGCCTAGGCCCGGGCGGGCCGGCGGTTCAAGAATAGTGGACCCGGGACCGGCCCGGGTAGCCACCGGGTCCGGTCCGGGTCCGGGCCGGGCCGGGCCTCCGGTTTGGATTTTTTTTTTTGCTTTCCTAACACCCCCCCTCACCCCCACCCTCCCAAACCCCCCAAACCCATCCTACCCATCAAGCCCAACCCGGGTGGAACCCCAAAAATGAAAAAAAAATAAAAAAAATTCAATTTGGCCCGAGCCCGGGCCCGACCGGCCGGGCCGGTTCACCAAAATTGGGACCCGAGCCCAGACCCGCCCTACCCCTCGGGCCTAGGCCCGACCCGGACTCGGACCCGAGAACCGGGCCGGTCCCGGTCCCGCACAGTAGCGGGCCGGGCCGGTCCACGGGCCGGGTGGCCCGACCCGAGTCCAACCATACCTAACATCAACTTGGAAAAGTTGAGTGAGACGAAGTGAGTATTTAACATCGAGTTCATAGGTAAGACATGCATCTAATTATAGACTTCAAGGCGGTTTTATAAACATCATATCATTAGACCATTTAAGTATGAGTTTTGAGATCCAAGAATCCTTAGTTTTGTGGTATCATTAGCTCCGCCAGGGAGAATATGATTTTCATTCCGATTCACCAATTTAAATTCCGCTTTGCTCTAGGGATTTATCCCATGTCACCCGTAACTAATAAAATGTAAGGTCCAATATATTAGATACTACATCCAATCCAACTTGATATTGAGAAAACTTTTGGGCTCATAGATTAGGAAAAATATGATAAAATATCTACACAACCTTCTGCTTTTGCTATGTAGTGTAAAATTAGTAAAATTGAAACGTAAAAATTGTTGATTTAGGTAAAAGGAATAGTAAAATATGAATAATATTTAGGTAAAAGGAATGGTAAAAAATGGAGAACGTTCATACATTATTATACTACCTTCGTCCCAAAAAATTCTTCTCCCATTGACTTGGCTCGCAAATTAAGGAAGTATGAATAAAATGGAAATGTGTGATTGTAGTTGTGTAAAAAGGTAAATGAATGTGAGTCACACAATTTTTTCAAAAATTGGTAAGTGGGAAGAATTTTTTGGGACGACCCAAAAAAGAAAGTTGGAAGATATTTATGGGATGGAGAGAGTAGTTATTATGGTTTCGATTGAGCTCAAACAATTCTTAGTCTAACCATAGTGTTTGTTTGTGCAGTCCTTAGATATTACCAAGTATTTTTGTTTTTATTTTAGTTTTTCGTTTTTTTTGTTCTTTCCGCCCAAGTGTTTGTTTTGAGCAGTCCTGAGATATTATTATTGTTTTTCTATTTTACTTTTCCATTTCTATTTTTTGTTCTTTTAAAAAACCTTTGAGCTAAATAAATTTTAACACATTATTTCTACTTAGCCAATGTAGGCTTTTGCTAACTTTGAATGATAAAAAAATCATTAAAAATTATTACTCCGTACTATTTTCTTGTAATGATAAAAAATTAAATTGAGTTTTTAAGAACGGTAAAATCTCTTTTTTGACATTTCAATCACACGTAAGTATGTAACCTAAAGACCCGATTGGTAACACAAAATTGACTGAATTTACCGATTGAAATGGTAGAATTGACTATTTTATTAGAAAAATAAAGAAAACTTTATATGGAAGCGTAGCTAAAATAGTGATATTCAGCAAATATAGTAAAAAAATAACTTCGATCTTATCATTCAAGCATAAAAGTAATTTCAATCTTACTTATTGTGTTACTAATAATTAAGGGCGTCAATTCGAAAATTATGTTTTCGGTGTATAAAAATTGACTGATAATTTGATAAGTCGAAAATGGGGTTATTGTACCGACTCTAAGTACATAATTACTTTTTATTGTTCAATTCATAAGTACTCCATTTTACATGTATTATCCTAATTATATTAGGTATCTTCTAAAAGTTAGGTGAACTTACAAAAAGAGTTAAACAAAGTTTTTTTAAAATTTACATTCTAGTTAACAATTTAGTATAATACACACAAAGATTTTTATATAATAATTAAGAAAATGTCTAGTAATTAAGTGCTTCAAAAAACAAAAATAAAAAAGAATAAAGAAGAGAAATAATGTGATAGCCTAATTTACCGTATTATTATGGTAATGTTTCATATGCAGGAATTACCCAACTTTGTAATAGCCGTTCATACTCAATCAAATATGTCAAAGATTGATATTTCATGCTTGGTCAAAGCATAATATTTTCCTTTCCTACCGTACATTTATTACATTTAATTACCAAATTTAGTTGTTTCATTAGTTCCCTATTATGCCCTTATTTTGGCGGGATTTTTCCCTCCAATTGTGGTGCAAAAACTGTTACTTTATATTATATATAAAGATGTCGTTGATTCAAGAAATCCAGGAGAAACTTCAAACATGGTTTGTCAATCACCGTACAGAAGCTTCTTCAATTGTAAGTCGTCTAACTCCTTGGGGAAAGGCATTATTGGGTGATCAGATCGTCTAACTCCTTGGGCATAGGGGTGGACTCGGGTCCGGGCCGGGTCCGGGTCAGGCCTAGGCCCGGGCGGGCCGGCGGGTCAGAAATGGTGGACCCGGGACCGGCCCGGGTAACCACCGGGTCCGGTCCGGGCCGGGCCCATTATAATTTTTTTTTGTTTTCCTCTTCCTAATTAACCCCCTCCCACCCCCAACCCCCAAACCACCCCAAATGGCCCAAAATACCCAGCCCAACCCAAAAATTGAAAAAAAATTGAAAAAAAAAATTGTTTTTGGCCCGAACCGGGCCCGGGCCCGGCCAGGTCGGGCCTTGTTTTGGGTGACCCGAGCCCGGACCGGAAAACCCACGGGCCGGGCCTACCCGGACTGGTCACTGACCGGGCCACCGGGTCGGGCCGGGCCGGAACAGTACCGGTCCCGGGCCGGTTCCGGGTCGGGCCACCCGGCCCGAGTCCATATCTACTTGGGCAGAGGCATTATTCGGTGATCAGATATTTCGTGGCAGGCACATGGATGTTAGAATGTATCATTTTTTATTCATTCAAATATATTTCACCTATGAAACTAATTTGTGATTCCTAAAATATGTTATTAATACTTCTCTTATGATACAATGTTTGTCTCAAAATTCATCACTTAAATATCTACAAGTCCTGGAGCTTTTAAGACTTACAATTTACAAAGGTATGCATTTGATTGGCCCTGAAAAGCTGCATTTAGAGCATTCAAAAGCGCTTATAAATGTTGCAAAAGCTTTCCAAAATAGACCTAGGAGAGGGTGCACACGAAGTTCAGGGACATCAACGGAGTTAAGTGAAGAAAAATACAATGTAGTAACTTCTAAAATTATTACTCAAGAACAGCTAAGTACACACACATTACAAGCTGGAATTACTGATGGATGACACCAAGAAGAACAGGTTAAGGGAAAAACAGAACTATGACTTCCATGTACAAAGTTGGAGCAAAATGAAGGAATCCACTCAACTGCCTGCCTTGATTCTTTGAATCCTCAGGGGAACATGTTTCTCCAAAACAGACACGCTAACCCCGTCCCAAACATCAGACCTGGTAGGGAGTTGGGCAATTTTCTCAACAGTCTCCATGTCCAGAACAGAACCAAAGACAGTATACGAATTTCTCCACTCTTGATGGTTTGCCAGACTGATAAAGAACTCGGGGCCTGAGCCAATCCACGCCACCGAACCCCGGGTCACGGTCGGGCAGAATTCAGTGGGAATGTTGTGAAATGTCACTCCTTGGGCCTCAAGAGTTCCTTGTACTAGAGCATAGGGCGGCCCGAAGGATGCCTGAGAATTGTTTTTTAGAAAGAAAAAAGGAGTTAATTGCATCTACTTCCCTCGGCGCGTGACTTGAACAAGTTTACAAATAAGCTCTGTCACAAGTAAACATTTCCGTGAAGGACACTAAAGATGACGATAAGGTAATATGATGCTGGTTAGTAGGATTGAGTTTTTTGGGGTTCTATTAGAGAAAGCTTCAAATACTTTAGCCTATAAAATGCATTGCAAGGCACCAAATTCAAACTGAGTACGTGCAATTCTTGTTAATATCATCATCACGTTATATCATCTTTCAGTGTTACAAGGATCCTTTGCGAAATATCAGACTGGTAAAGGGCCCCATTTATTTTAGAATATCAAGATTCATTGGGTAATAAGGTGGTCTTACATCTTTCATGTGATTTCCTTGTGAATCCCAAGCTTCCCCTCTACCTTCTGCACGATGGAATTGGCAGCCTGCACAGTGACGGGACGCTAGCAACTCTAGGATGTACATTATTGAGTGTGGGGAGCATTCAGGCAATAGCTGCAAAAACCCATGTTCATTTACATGAAGGAGGAAAGAAGCTTTATAAAATGGACACAGTAAAATTATACTAAAAAGTTAAAAGAAATCAAAAGCCTTGTCAAGAAAAAAAACATGGAAATGATACTCACAGACATTATAATGCAGATACAGAGGCAACTGATATTTCTCGTGTTTGGTTAAAAGGAGGAGGGAAGATGAAAAGAGGGAAGGAGAAGGAACGGAATGAAGGTGGCTCAAAGAAAAATATTTAATTTGCTTCAACTGACTGCAGAGAAACTAGTATTCTGGAAAAAATGTGTAAATATCGTATTAATACGCCCTCCTATGTTTCTTATTCAACTCCCCCTTTGACTTTACAAGACTATTATGAAAATGAAATGGTATCGTTAAAATTTATTTAGAATGAAAAGGTAACATATGAACCATTGTTTTTCCTTAAAAAGAAATAAGGAGATCATTTGGGGACGAGAGTAAAAGTAAAGTGTGAATATAATATAGGGACATATCAAGGAAAATATAGGGATATATTTTTATGAGAATCCCAGTACTTTAAGAATAAATCCCACTTGGGATTTCTCTAAGTATACGATAGGAGGGGTGAAAAAGTAAAAGACTAATAAGGGAAGAAAGTGGCAAGCATAACTAACAGGCTGAGGTGGATGTGTCAGAGAGGGAAGGGAATAAAGTTACCGTGCTAGGCAAGGAAAGGCACATTGGAGTTTGTGGGCTTAGGAGAGAGACTGCTCGAAGTGTCTTACCTATCTTTCTTTTCTGCAATTTTTCTTCCATTGTTACTTATTATTCTCCCAGACTACTTCCAGACTGATAAGACCAGTCGAGATTAAAGAGAGATAGAGAAGGAGGGTCGAGGAATGCACAGAATCTGAAGAAATTCCCCAAATGTTTTAGTCCATGTGGAGAGGACAAGGCTCCTTACAATATGATAATGCTTATAAATTCTGAACTCTCTAGTACGTAGCTAACAGGAAGTATTTATAATAACTATAAAGCAATAGAGTAGTGGGTTACAGGTTATGCCCATAACCACCTCCACTAATGACTGAAAAATAGCCACAATGTCAACTGCTTCCCAGGAGCAGTTTCTTCCTGCGGGAATAAGACTTCAGTGGTCTATCAGTACTCCCCCCCTGAAAAGTCACCTTGTCCTCAAGGTGGAAAGAAGGGAACTGCCCGGTGAGTAAGTCATAGTCTTCCCACGTTGCTTCTTCAAGAGGCCGGCCTGCCCATTGCACCAACAACTCTAAATTAGAACCAGAAACCCATCTGTGAGAGAGCACCCTTTCCGGCTGTAACACATACTCCCAGTCAGTAGATATAGGAAGGGCTGCGGGTGACCGAAGGGGACTGTCCATACGCGGGACGTAGCAAAGATACATGAAAGATGGGATGGATTTTGCAATCTTCAGGTAGAGCCAATTCGTAAGCAACTGGACCAACGCGGCGAACAACCGAATATGGGCCAAAGAAACGAGGGGACAGTTTTTCAAACCGTCGCTTGGACAAAGAACGTTGATGAAAAGGTTGAATCCGGAGGAAGACAGCATCTCCTACCTCAAAAGATAGCTCCCGTCGTTTAGAGTCAGCTTGAGCTTTCATCCGGCATTGAGCTTTTTGGAGATTTTCCCGAAGGAGTTTTAGCATAGCATCACGAGACAGTAGTTGTTCCTCTAGATCAGCATTGTTTGTTTCTCCTAGCACAAAAGGGTGTAGAACAGGCGGGTCCCGGCCATAGACTATTTTGAATGGAGTGGTTCCCGTGGAAGAGTGAAAACCAGTGTTAAAAGAGTACTCAGCCCATGCCAAATACTTGCTCCAGGAGGAGGGCCGCTCGTGAGCAAAGCAGCGCAGGTAGGACTCAAGAGTGCGATTCACCACCTCCGTTTGCCCGTCAGATTGGGGGTGGTAAGCTGTACCCATGCGTAACCGGGTCCGACTAAGTCGAAACTGTTAGAATATACATATTTAATAGTCAATATATTCTATGTATATATATGGTAGCTAATATATTCTCTGCGATAGACTAAATATTCTACGTAAATCTGACAGATTTAGTTTCCTTTTTTTGTATTCTCTAGCTTGTATGTATTTATACTGGTCATACCTAATGATAATGAAGTGTGATTTCATTGCATCTTTAATCCATATTACTCAGTTTACATGGTATCAGAGCCACACAAGTTCTTCGGGTAGTACTTCCCGAAGTTCGACTCTGCTCCCTCCCTCTGGTTCGGTTCAGCCTTCTTTTGTGCGACGCAGGACGTTGTTCGCAGGCGCAGGCGTGGTAATCCGGATAGTGCAGCACAGTTGTCGCAGGTCTGATTTTCTGGACACTATCTGCACCCTGTTCTTGTTATCACTCTTGCCCTAGTTGTTTGCAAGCATGGGTGATGATAAGAAGAGCGTGACTGAGATTACGGTCGGTAATGCTAGAATTACCGAGAGAAAACTGACTGGTAGTAAAGATTACGGGCAGTGGAAACGGACTATTACAAGATATGTTAATAGTCTTGATCCGGGAGATCATCTAACTGAAATGGCTCCTCCATGAAGTAATCCTGATGAAAGAAAGAAATGGATGATGGCCGATGATAGGTTGTTCAATCAAATTCAGAATACCCTGGATCCTTCTATTAATAGTATCATTACTCATTGTGATATTGTCAAAGAAATGTGGGAATACTTGGAGTCTATATATGCCAGTAAACAAGATCTCTCTTATGTTCATCAATTACTGATGCACTACTATAGACCGGAGATGAAAGACCAGACGCTGTTTCAATACTACAATGAATGTAAACAGATTTTTGAGGAAAAGCGGTCCCGATTCCCTATTACTGCTGATGTTAAGAGTATGCAAGAACAAGAGGAGCGAACATTTGTTCATGGTGTTTTGGCTGGGCTTGGTCCACAATATGAGGTATCAGGAGTCAAATACTGTCTGGTGGGACCTGTTGAAATATAAACTAGAATAATATTGAAAAGTGGAGGAAAGATTTTCTGTATTTCATTAGTTGTGGAAGTCCCTATAAATATACATTACAAATAGAATATACCTATATAAGATTCTATACAATAATAATATCTATGGTATATTCCTAATATATTCTAAAGCATATTCTAAAGTATATTCTAATATACTTTCACACTCCCCCTCAAGTTGGAGCATAGATATTTATCATGCCCAACTTGTTACATAAATAACAACCTCGAATTCCATTTAGTGCTTTAGTGAACAAATCTTCAAGTTGTTCCCCAGTCTTCACATATCCTGTAGAGATCAATCCTTTTTGTATCTTCTCTCGAATAAAATGACAATCGACCTCAATATGTTTTGTTCTCTCATGAAACACTGGGTTGTTGGCAATGTGTATAGCAGCTTGGTTATCACACCACAGTTTAGCAGGCATTGGTGTCTTGAATCCAATTTCACTCAATAAATGATTTATCCAGATTATCTCACATGCTGATTGTGCCATAGCACGATATTCTGATTCGGCACTAGATCGAGAAACCACATTCTGCTTCTTACTTTTCCAGGAGACAAGATTACCACCAACAAAGACGCAATAGCCAGATGTAGATCTTCTATCATCTTTAGATCCAGCCCAATCAGCATCTGCAAAGCATTCTATTCTCATGTGATCATGATTTTGATAAACAATACCTCGTCCTGGTGTCCCCTTCAAGTAACATAATATATGTTCAACAACATTCCAGTGATCAACTGTGGGAGATGACATATACTGACTCACTACACTCACTGAGTATGCAATATCTGGACGGGTAACTGCGAGATAATTAAGTTTTCCAACCAATCTTCTATATCTCTCTGGATCTTCAAATGACACACCTTCGTGAGTGAGTTGTACATTAGGAATCATAGGAGTATTGCTCGGCTTTGCCCCTAATTTCCCTGTTTCAGCTAGCAAGTCAAGTACATATTTGCGTTGAGATAGAAATATGCCTTGCTTGCTCCGTGTTACCTCAATACCCAAAAAGTATTTCAATGAGCCTAGATCTTTCGTCTGGAATTGGCTGTGAAGAAAATTCTTAAGAGCCAAAATACCTGCAGTATCACTCCCTGTAATCACAATATCATCGACATACACCACAAGCAACGTGATACCTGCTTTCGTTCGTCTGTAGAAGACAGAGTGGTCTGATTGACCTTTTACCATGCCAAATCGTTCAATTGATTGACTGAACTTTCCAAACCATGCACGGGGACTTTGTTTCAAACCATAAAGGGACTTGCGAAGTCGACAAACTTTCCCATACTCCCCTTGAGCAACAAATCCCGGAGGTTGCTCAATATAAACTTCTTCCTGAAGGTCACCATGCAAGAATGCATTTTTAATGTCCAACTGATGTAAGTGCCAATCATGAGTTGCAGCTAGAGAAATAAGTAACCTGACAGATGTTAATTTAGCAACAGGAGAAAAAGTGTCAGAATAATCAACACCATAGGTTTGAGCATAACCCTTCGCAACTAATCGAGCTTTCAATCGAGCAACAAATCCGTCTGGATTAACCTTAACAGCAAAGACCCACTTACATCCGATAGATTTCTTCCGTGTAGGCAAGTCAACCAAATCCCAAGTACCATTAAGATCTAAAGCATTCATTTCCTCTACCATGGCATGACGTCATTCAGGATGAGATAAAGCTTCTTTAACAGATTTGGGAATAGAGACAGAATCAATTGAAGTAATAAAAGAACATGAGGCAGGAGATAACTCGCTATACGACACAAATGAAGAAATGGGATGAGTACAAGATCGTGTACCTTTACGTAGAGCTATCGGAAGGCCAAGATCTAATGTAGAGACAAGATTTGAAGATGCATGTATCGATTCAGGACATGAGATCAAGGACGGACCAATATCAGGATAAGTAATCACAGGTGTTACAGGCGGAGGGTGATCTGGTGCTCTGTTTCGACGGGTGTAACCAAGTGTACTGGAGGTCTGTGGTCGGGAACAGTAACATGCGGAATAGCTACAGAAGGTGTAGATTCCGGTATAGTGACAACGTAAATGAGTATTTCATCATTGTCCCCAGGAATATCTGTCTTCGATGATGAAAAAGGTGTATTTTCATGAAATGATGCATCAATGGAAACAAGATATCGACCTGTACTTGGACAAAAACATCTATACCCCTTCTGAAGTCGAGAATAACCCAAGAAAATACATTTTAATGATTTGGGGTCTAACTTTGTAAGATGAGGATTAACGCCTCTAACAAAGCAAGTGCAACCAAATGTTTTAGGTGGGATAGGAAAAAGCTCTTTATTCGGAAATAAGCAGTGATAAGGAGCTTTACCGTTTAAAACAGAAGATGGCATACGGTTTATCAAAAAACATGTGGTAGACACGGCATCCGCCCAAAACTGTTTAGGCACATTCATTTGGAATAAAAGAGCCCTTGCAGTTTCTAACAGATGTCGATTCTTTCTTTCAGCGACTCCATTTTGAGGAGGTGTGTCTACGCATGAAGTTTGATGAATAATGCCATTTTGAAGCATAAAAGATTTAAATGGAGCAGAGAGATATTCTTGGGCATTGTCTCCCCTCAACACACGAACAGGAACATTAAATTGAGTTTTAATTTCAGCACAAAATGCAGAAAAATGTGTAAATAACTCTGATCGACGTTTCATAAAATATATCCATGTCATACGAGAATAATCGTCAACAAATGTAACAAAATATTTGAAACCAGATTTGGACACAACAGGACATGCCCCCCAAACATCAGTATGAACAAGATCAAACGGAGCGTTTTCTCGTTTATTAAGTCGAGGACTTAAACTAGTACGATGATGTTTTGCAAACTCACACGACTCACATTGTATAGATGACACTTTATTAAACTGAGGATATATTTGTTTCATTAGTGGGAGAGATGGATGTCCTAATCGGTAATGAGCTTCTAACAGACTTCCAATCCAAGACAAGAGATACCTTTTGTGATTGATGTATCCAAAATATAAAGACCAGCTGACTCATGTCCTTTACCAATAGTCTGCTTCGTTAACAGATCCTGAAACACACAATTTCCAGGAAAAAATGTTACAGAACAATTCAGAGTACATGTGATTTTACTTATTGAAAGCAGATTAAATGCAAAATTAGGAAGACTCAAAACAGACGATAATGGTAATGTAGAAGTTGGTACAACAGTACCAGATCCAAGAACGGGTGAGATAGACCCGTCGGCTAAAGTGACACTAGAAGTAGGTAAATATGAGTGAAATGATGAGAATAGACTAGGATTACCGGTCATATGATCTGTGGCACCTGAGTCAATGACCCATTTCGAGGATGATGAAACATGACATGTGTTTGAAATACCTGAATTTGCGACTACCGGGATAGGGACAGAGGAATGCTTTAGAGATTCGTGATAGCAAATAAATTTAGCATACTCATCTGAAGAAATAGCAATTGATCCATCAGATGAAAGGGTAGCGGAAGCAACATGAGCAAGCCGATTTCCTTGATTTTTGAACAACAATTTTCTGCACTCTTTGATCAAGTGTCCGGGCTTCTTACAGTAATTGCATATTACTCCTCTGTCAAATTTATCCGTACAAGACATAATTCATTTTTTTTCTTTTTCTTTTTCTTTTTTTTTCTTTTTTTTTTGTTTTTTTGTTTTTATTTTTTTTAGGTTAAAAGGTAAAATAAAATAAAATAAAACTTGAAATATTAAGTGAATATTGGACTCACCGCAGCTTTCTCGTTTGTAGATTTAAAAATTGGAGAATAAAATATCCAGCTTGGGCTTTTGACTGCTGGGTCCTGAACTTATCACCAAAGCAGATGTGCAGACCTGATGCACATGCGAGATCCCAGATTGCACATGCGACAGAACAATAGTGAAGCAGCGGATGGGATAGAGGCGAAAGAACGAAGGGCCTCTTCTCGCTCAACCAGAGATGCCCAGAGCCTCTTCTTATGCGAGACCCAGCGATCGACCAACCACCGGACCTACTCTCACAGCTATCTTCCCTTTCTAGAGAAAGAACGAAAGAGAAGTGAAGTATACCTGGGGTAGAAGCGATGGCAGCGCACCAGAATAAAGGCGAGAATTGGAGCTGCGTACCCGCACGGGTAGCTCAGTTGGTTCAGTGGTGGGAAATTTGGACCAAGTGACCAAGGTTCGAAACCCGCAGCGGCCGTGTGGAGGTCACAGAACCTGAAATAAGGCTGGGCCTCTGGTGCGCACGGGAAAAAGGCCTACCATCATTGGGCCGACTGAGTCACCGTGATTAACATCCTCCCAAAAATCCTGTCGGGTCGGGGTATGGGGGGCTCCTGGGGTGGAAGATTCCACCTTTTGGACCAAGAGAATTGGAGCTGCGTACTTTCAACACCTGGTCGGAAACGGCAGGAATGGTGTAGTCGGAATTTCGCCGGAAAAATGGTCGGACCTGGCAGAGATGAAGGTAGTTTGCTTGATACCAATATTCTGAATTTGCTTGAACTCAGGTTCTCAATAGTGGGTCTGGTTAATGGTGATGGTGTGTAGAGAGGTTCTGTCCTGGATTGAATTTCTTGGAGAAAGAATGGTGCACAGATGTTCTGAAATGAGTTGCAAACTGAATTAAAATCTGAAAAAGTAAACTGAAACTAAACTGAAATAGATTTCTCTGCCAGAGGTTCTGAAGGTTCTAAAGAGTCTGGACTGAAATCAATTTCTTGGAGAAAGAACACAGCCTGAAAACTAAATTGAGATATCACAAACTAAACTGAAATCTGAAATGAAAAACTTAACTGAAATGGAAGGCTCCGATACCATGTTGAAATAGAAACTAGAATAATATTGAAAAGTGGAGGAAAGATTTTCTGTATTTCATTAGTTGTGGAAGTCCCTATAAATATACATTACAAATAGAATATACCTATATAAGATTCTATACAATAATAATATCTATGGTATATTCCTAATATATTCTAAAGCATATACTAAAGTATATTCTAATATACTTTCACAGGACCCTTCCTAGTTTTTCTGACCTCTATGGACGTCTCCTTCCGGTGTGCAAAGATGGAGAATCCAGAATGATGAACTTGATTGACACTGTTGCCTTAGTCAGTGATGTGAGCCATGGTAAAAGGACCAATTCAGTCACTACAGAAGGGACTCGTAATTCTTCTCGTACATGTTATCACTGTGGAGCTGAGGGTCATGTGAAGAAGAATTGCTGGAAATTACATGGTCGTCCACCACAGACATCTGGACAGCCTCCCAGGCGTGTTGCTAATACGGTTATCCAGGATGGTATCCTACCAACTCCTTCCACCATTACTATCTCAGTCGATGAATATGCTCGGCTACAACAACTTTCTCTCACAGCCTCATCTGCCACCACACAAGTTGATACAGGTAATCCTGCTGCATGCCTCTCTACATCATCACGCAATTGGGTGATCGATTCAGGCGCAATGGACCATATGACTGGTAATGAAAATATTTTGGATTCATTTACCTCTTCTGCTAACAGTCTCATGTTACTTTAGCAAATGGATCTACCGCATCTGTCAATGGCCTTGGAACAACAGCTCTTTCTCCAAACCTTTCTCTATCTTCTGTTTTATATTTATCTCAATTTCCATTTAATTTAATCTCAGTCAGTCAGATTACTAAAGCCATAAACTGTTATGTTATTTTCTTTCCTACTCATTGTCTTTTTCAGGATCTTGGGACGAAGCAGATTATTGGTAAAGGGAGACTGGTTAATGGAATATATGTTTTTGAATCCTTGGTGCCGAGATCAGTTGCATGCACAAGTTTGTCTCTGTTGAAAGTTCACTGTCAATTTGGTCATCCATCTCTTTCTGTACTACAAAAAATGTGTCTTAGTCTGTCACGGGAGTCTGTTTTGGAGTGTGAAGCATGTCAGTTTGCTAAGCATCATAGAACAACTTTCCCTCCTCGAATAAATAAAAGTGTTGAGTCTAGTTTTGATTTAGTTCACACTGATGTGTGGGGTCCTTGTCCTGTCGTTTCCAAACTTGGTCATCGTTATTTTGTTACATTTGTGGATGATTTTTCACGGGTTACTTGGCTTTATCCTTTGAAATTCCGTTCAGATGTGTTTACTGCATTTTCTACCTTTCATGCTGAAATTCAAACTCAATTTAATAAGAATATACGCATTCTGAGAAGTGATAATGCTAAAGACTATTTATCTAGCACTTCTCAGACTTACTTATCTCACCATGGGATTTTACACCACACTTCTTGTCCCTATACACCTCAACAAAATGGTGTAGCTGAACGAAAGAATCGTCACCTACTAGAAGTAGCTCGAGCCTTAATATTTCACATGGGGGTTCCTAAACCATTTTGGGTAGACGTTGTTTCCACTGCGTGTTACCTTATCAATCGTATGCCTTTTTCTGTTCTTCATGGTCAGATTCCGTACTCCGTGTTATTTCCCTCTCAGTCCTTGTTCTCTCTTGTGCTCGTGTGTTTGGTTGCACATGCTTTGTCCAGGATATGCGTTCCAGGTCTCAAAACTTGATCCTAAATCGATCAAGTGTGTTTTTCTGGGTTATTCCCGATTACAAAAAGGATATCGATGTTATTCTCCTTCATTGGGACGGTATATTATCTCTGAAGATGTCCCATTTTTTGAAGAAACACCCTTCTTTCAGCATAGTTCATCTTCATCCCCTTCCTTGGAACTCTCTAATGATGAGTTTCTAGTCTATACCACCAGCCAGCTAGAATCTGTCCCCCTAGTGAGGTTTCCACGCCAAGTTTCCTTCCTCATCCACCTCCTCCCCTTAAAGTTTACTCTCGTCGTGTGCGCCCTGTGACTACGGCACCTACTATGGCTACCAGTGTACCACCGCCATCTTCTGCTTCGCCTCCAGATTCTGCTCCCTCCGACCTTGATCGGCCAATCGCCCTCCGAAAAGGTACTCGTACTTGTACTAATCCTCTTCCAAGAGCTTTATTGTTTGTTTAGATTCTATTGTTGTTCCTTCAACTGTGTTAGGGATATACCTATATTAGGAATTGGGCCTAATAGACTGTTAGGAATTGGGCCTATTAGAGCAAGAATAATAATAAGTAAAAAGGGTCCAGGAGTATTCTAGTATAAATAGACATGAATGGGGAGTTAGCAGGAGGCTTTTGGGACTTTTGGACTGGGAAAGATTAGAGAGTTATTCTCTTTTCTTTTGGGAGGCTTCGGCCTTTGTTTCTGCTTCTCTCTAACCGATCTTCTTCATCAAATAGGAATTCAGTTTGATTTTCTTGTTAATCTACTGTAATTGTTATGTACTGGTGAGGTCTCTATCAAACTGCTTCTGAGGCCTTGGCTTATCCTGGTTAGCAAGAGGCAATGCAAGAGGAGATGACGGCTTTCGATCAGAACCACACATGGGACCTTGTATATCTTCCACCCGATAAGAAAGCTATTGGGTGTAAATGGGTGTTCACTGTCAAAATGAATCCTGATGGTTCTGTTGCTCGTTTAAAGGCACGGTTAGTAGCTAAGGGTTATGCTCAGGCATATGGTATAGATTACTTTGACACTTTCTCTCTTGTTGCCAAACTTACATCCATTTGATTGTTTCTCTTTGGCTGCTACTTACAATTGGACACTCCATGAACTTGATATTAAAAATGCCTTTTTGAATGGTGACCTTAGCGAGGAAGTATACATGGAGCAACCACCGGGGTTTCATGCTCGGGGGGAGTCTGGAAAGGTATGTAAATTAAGGAAATCGTTGTATGGTCTGAAACAGTCCCCACAAGCTTGGTTCGGCCGTTTCAGTGATGCAATATTTAAATTTGGCTTACGCGGGAGTGCCTATGATCACTCAGTCTTCTTCTCTACCTCAAATTCTGGATGCATTCTATTAGTTGTGTATGGTGATGACATCGTGATCACCGGCAGTGATGTGAGTCGTATTTTGAAACTGAAAGCTTTCCTTGCTACTTGCTTTCAGACCAAAGATCTTGGGCCCTTGAAATACTTCTTAGGGATAGAAGTCTCACGAAGTAACAAGGGAACTTACTTG